AAAAAGGCCAAGAAACCAAGGGCTCTTAGGGCTTTACCTGTGATGTAATCCAAATTCCGATTGTACTGTGAATAGCTCCAGGCTTCCACCAAGGCTTCAATTCAGTTCACAATGGGGCGACAACAAACCGGACAATCAGATTGCCCATGCCAACAGAGCGATGGGGCGACGACAAACGGGACAATCAGATTGCCCATGCCAACAGAGTAATGGGGCGACGACAAACCAGACAAACAGCAGGGAAGCAACAATTCAGAAGGTACCAGAAGAGTAATGGGGCAACGACAAACCGGACAATCAGATTGCCGAAGGGCAGACCCATGTATGTAGGTAAACAAGGATCATGTTGTACAAATTTCAGATCTCCCCTAGCCAGGGGGCTTATGTTGTGCTGCATTACCATTTGGCCAAAATGCATGCATTGCCACATCGACACGGCCATGCGCCCGGCATGCGGCGAGCAGCACGGGGCGCGCCTCCATCCGCACTCGGCCTCGTCGACCTCTGGGATTCGGCCCTTCCCCTCTGCCTCATCGACCTCCCAGGCCCTTCCCAGCATCTCCACCATGCACGTATAGCGCTGCAGCGACGGCCTCCTCACCCTTCCTTGAGACACTTGCATCCCTTCGCCCACCATCCCAGTCCTCGCGCACGCGGCCTTGTCGTCCATCTCCCCTTCCCCGCCACGGAACAGGCAGAGCACCTGCCGGCACCGCCCGTGCGCGGACATGGCGCTGGCCAGAGCGGGGCAATTCGTCGAACACGCTGCGGGAAGAATCCGGGACGCCGCCGGCAGAGCATGCGTGGATGCGAGAGGGTTCGAGGACCGCGCCTAGGCGGAGCGAGGCGGCGTGGACGGTGGCCACCAGCGAGAGGGACGGCAACGAGGCGGAGGAGCGCGGCGTGGTGCCGCCGCATGGCCGCCGGCTGTCGCCACCTCCATTGCTCACTGACTCCGAAGTGACGGGCGGGGAGAGGTGAGTTGGAGTGGGATGGCGCGACGAGAATGCAAGGGCGGAGGAGACGGAAGTACACTCCGGCGGCCGGCCGTCGTTGAGATGGAATTTTTTTTTTTTTGCGGTGTCCGGCATTGAGATGGATCGATCCAGGCAAGAAGACGAGGCACTGTGGCGTCCCCGTCCCGAGCGTGGCCCGAAAGAGAATGCGGCCCAGATCCAGGTAAAGTGTTCTAGGTTCAAGCGCGGGCCAAAAAAATTCACAGAAGTTTAAAAAATATTCCCGTTTTTTTTTCAGAAAATGTTCGTGTTTTCCGAATAATGATCTAAGAAAATGCTCACATCCAGAAATGTTACTTTAAAAATAAATTTAATTTGCTGTGTTTCTAAAAAACTACTCCCTCTGTCCCACTAGTGTCAAAAGCGCTCTTATATTACGGGACGAAGTGTAGGGTCAAAAACGCTCTTATATTATGGGACGGAAGGAATACTACTACTAACTAAAACCCGAAACAAAAACATTAGAAACGAGCATGAAAGAAAACGTTCCCAACAATATGTTCTCTACATCGGTTTTTTATATTATGGGCCGGCCGAGTCTTGATGTTCCTGTGCGTCACCGTCTTTTTAGATGCTCCAAAGGAGGTCCTCGCTGATTGCGAGCTAGAACTCACGCCCAACAATTCCTCTACAATGCTTTACACACTGATTGGTATACTCGTGGTCACGCGTGGGATGGTCCAGTAGCATGCTCGTTTTGCATGATCGGTCTGATCGCCTACACACTACTCCTTCAGGCTACGGGTTCAAGAAAAACCAACAACTGCTTGTTTAGAGGAAAAATTGGATCTCTGTTTTTTATGAATTAAAAAAATCATACTTCTAAAACAAGACCATGTATCTTTAAAAAGTTAATTAATTAGGAAAAAATTATAAATATGAAACACTGTTCACAAATTATTAAAAAGTTCATGAATTTCAAACCAGTTCATGTATTTGAAAAAATGATCTAGGATTTACAAAATGTTAACTAATTTGGAAAAAGTTCGTGAATTTAAAAATATCCCATAAATTATAAAAGTCTTCATCGATTTGACAAGATGTTTATGTATGTAGAAAACAATTCAGAAATTTAGAAAAACTTCGCAAATTTGAAAATAGGTTAATAATAATGTTTTTTAAAAAAACCTTCATGATAAAAAAATTGTTAGCAGAAAAAAATGAAAAATATAAAATGAAAAATGAAACAAAACCAAATTGAAAAACACATGAGTTGATGTTTTTTAATTTAGTTTAGTTTTTCATTTCCTTTAATCATTTTTTTCATATTTTCTTTTCTATTTTTGCTCTCCTTTTTCTTCTTTTTTCATCGCTGAATTTTCAAAAGTGCAACGTGTTTTAACTTTTAATAATGAAATTGAATATTTAAAGATGTTGATTGAATTGAAAAAAATGTTCATACTTTTCGAAACTATGTCCATCATGTACTAGAAAATATTCATTGTGTTTTAAGAAAGTACATCATGTTTCCAAAAACTGTTCATTTTTGTATTTCCAAAATGTATTCACATATTTTAAAAATGGCTATCATGGATTTAGGAAAATTATTCACAGTACATTTTGAAGAATGTTCATCATAACTAGATAGTGCCACAGTCTATTTAAAACATGTTCACTGTCTATCAAAAAAATTGTCTAGCTTATTTAAAAAAAACCCATCACGTATTTGAAAATAATATTCACAGTGAAGTTTAGAAACATGTTCGTCGCATAACTAAAGATGTTCATCATGTTTCAAAAACTTCCATCATGTATTTGAAAAATATCTTTTCATATTAAAGAAAACTATTAACCGTGTATTTCTTTGAAAAAACTCAATGCATATTTTAAATTATGTTTGAGAACATTTATTTTCATATGCGTGGGAAATTTTTCTTGTAATATTTTTCTATCTAGGTGACATTTTTATTAACCATATAAAACTTTTCCAAGTCCGTGAGAAATTTTTATGCAGTATGGCGCGCCACGAAATTTATGTGCAATGGGAAATATTTTCTTAAGGCAAGTGAACATTGATTTTCATATACATTAACATGTTTATTCAAATATCTTCTCTACAAGCGAAAAAATTGTTTATGTTGATTTTCGAGTCTAGAATGTTTTGGAAACATCTTCTCTGTGGTATAAATCTTTGCTAGATGGAGTACCGACAAGACTTCAATAAATAGACTGCAATTGGAGTGGAACATCGCTATTGCTACTCACTCAACTGCACGAATTTCATTACCAATAAAAGTTTTGGAAAACCTCTTTGAGTCACCCATCCAAAAAGATGAGAAGTCATGAGCGATGAACATGCCTAGACCGGGGATGGTCCCCTAGAAGTGCAGTCTGTCAAACCACAAAAAAGTTCACCATAATGTCGTGGAAGATTCCAACTCCATAAAAATCAAACTAGCAAAAACGAACTTGACACATCAGATCCCAATAATGGACTCTGCAAGGACATCTAACCCACTGTCTCCATGGCACCGCTACAATGAACTGGGGTAATTTATTCAAGAAAGACCACAATGATTTTTTTTATGTTGACAAGACATCTACTATGTTAGCCAGTTTTACAAACTAGTTTGGTGGGCGGATTCAACACCTAGCCGCATGGACGCGAGTAGACGTAAGTTTTGTTGGAAGACCCAAGGCGGGGAACACTCCGCTAGAGCTCACTACAAGCCGAGATATAATCGTGCCTGTGCGTCGGTGCTATATCTCACTTGTTGTGAGATGTAGCACCATTTCGCCTTTGCGCCCAACTGTGCGCCGGTTTTAATGGACCGACCAATAGAGTGATTTTGGATGGTTGTTGCTCTCCTTAATGGGACACCCCAATAAACCGATTTTGAGAAGGTTCTACATACTAGTTTTAGAACCTTCCATGTGATTGTTCCTTTTTTAGTTTTATTTATTTCTTTGTTTTCCCTTGTGTGTTTTCTCTATTTGTTTTCATCTGTTCCTATTCATTTTTCTTACTTTTTTGTTTTCTATTTTCTAAATACATGTTGAACATTTTGCAGATACATGTTGTACATTTTTTTCCAGATACATGTTGAACATTTGCAAAATGCAAATTGAACATTCTTTTTAATAGAAAGTGAATATTTTTAAGCACACATTCGAACATTTTCCTGGGAGTTCCCCTCATCCATAAATCGATACACATGGTGTTGTATGTGACGAGTTATTATCCAATGTTTTTGCACTACCATTATGTTTAAGACCACCACCACAGTTGTCAGGGGCGCACATGTCTCAACACTGATTTGGCCGCTACCACTTAACACGGATAGGGTCTAGTTTGTACTCCCTCCGTCCCAAAATAAGTGTCTTGAACTTAATAATTTGTACTAGAGCTAGTACAAAGTTGAGATACTTATTTTGGGACGGAGGGAGTAGTTTTTAATTCACTTTGGGTCATGATGTAAGTTTCTTTGCATAACTGCTTCATATTTAATAAAGCAACGGGCCCTTAGGGACCCATCCTCTCTTTTTTTTCGAAAAGGGGGGCTTCCCCGGCCTCTGCATCAGACAGATGCATATGGCCACATTTATAAATAAATAAAGTAGTTCAACAATGTCTTGCAAAGTGCTGCAACAAAGGATACTGGCTCACACAGAGCAAGCAAAATAAAACAAGGCCCAAAAGCCACAATCGGCTGGCATAGTAAAGAGAGATAGGTAAACTACGCACCTATCCTATTACATGACCGCCATCCAAACCGGTTGAATAAATCCCGCGCTACCATCTCCCACCGGACAGATCCAGTAACCAAACACGCCCTGGCCTCCGTCGGAGTGAGTAAACCCATCCTCTCTTAAAAAAAGGTAAAAATAATTATTTCAATTGCAATTGTGTTTGAAATAGAGGAATCATTGTATCATGGAACACACGTCACCGCAACCAGCGTAGAAATAGCAAATGTGGTTCCCATCCGCGTAGGTGTCATACTGCCCAAAGGATTCTGGTGCCGAGGGCAAGAGTTGGTTTACTTAGTCTTGATTCACCTTGCAAGACTGAAATGCTTGGCTTATCAACTTCCAGCTCCTTATTGCTATCAGCGTTGGAATCACAACCCATGGAGAGTTTGCACCAACAAAATATGTCCAGAAGTAGAATGGACTGACGCAGAAGTTCATGCCGTCTAAGTAGGCAGTAATGTAGTAAACCAGCATTGCGTAGATGTGGCCCATAGATACACTGAACTGTAGAATGTAGCTGTAGGACTTTCTGGAAGCAATAGCATAGCTGCAAGAAGCAAACTTGTGGTAAGCAGATAGTAAAATAAATAATAAAAAGCTGCAGCTAATGGTTTCATTCTATCTAATCTATAAAGCACAGTGGAAAAAATTAGAGAGACGTGCTAAAATTTTCTATAAACTAGAGAGTACTCCACGCGTTGCATGAATCGATTGAAATATATTTCCGTTATTTGATTATATGAAACATGCATACTTGTATTAATAGTATATGAACTAAAACTCAGAATGAATATTATATATTTTATTTATTAGTGTGTACTGGAAAATTATTTTGAATATAAATGGTATAATATAATGGAGAACTTTTTCCCATGCATGTATGAACCTTTGATGAGATGTCATGTTTGGTGAGGTCACCATTGTTGCATGTAGACATCTCTCACATGATTTCTTTTGTATGCACATGTTGGTTATTGGTTGATCTATAAATGGCGAGTACATATTACGCCTAATTTTAACCTGTTAGTCTTCAGCACATTTACCAATGCTATGATCTAATGCAATGGATCGATAGATGATTAGAAGTCAATAAGAAAACTATGGCAAAGAGAAATACTCCTCTTACCATATTGTGTTAAGTAGGCAATCAGTGATGTACACCATATGTTAGGAGCAATACGTAAAAGAAAATGTCAGAGGAGTAATTAGGCGTCAATATGAGCATTGATGGAGGAGTAAGTAAATTAGTGTCGCCTACGCAAACTAAATGCTTGAGGGTGTGCTGGCCATTTGTTTGTTACTTTTGGGTTTTTTCATTAAAGGTGGACTCAACTGTGTATGCAACCAAGAACCATGTGAGAAGTATGTTTTGGAATTTAGCCCTTTTTTGGTTTATAGGAATTTTGTAGGAATTTCATCGGACAGGAATTTGTAGAAAAAATTCATTTGAAGCCCTTTGATTTGCAGGAATAGAATATTGTTCATGTACATGATAGAAGGATCCTTTGTATTTCAAAGGAAGAAAAACATTAGTCTCGACCCAATAAAAAACATATAATATGAACCAAATAACATCTCTTTTTCGATAGCATTTGAGATACATGTCATCTCACTTTTTGTGATTTTCCTATTCTCATGATATTCTTATACTATAAATCAAAGAAAGTCTTAGAAACAAAATTGGATCCATTCTGGTGGTCTGACAAATTCGTCGAGCTAGCTCTAGAAACTAACAGATCAAGCAAAGTTTAATCTTTGTTGTTTTGCCGGGAATAGACAGTGTGGTGAAGAGAAAATGAGTAGTAGTAAAATGTAATAAGGTGACGTACACAGCAAGAAGTGATGCAGGGCCTTGTAGAAAAACCGCAATGACTTCGATCGCGCCGGTTGTGGTGTCCCCGGTGGCATATCTGGAGTCGGCTTTGCTGTACTCTTTCCCTGAAGATGTAGCATGCATGCAGTTAGTTACTCGAAAAATTAAGAACATCGTTTCGAGATGATGGATACGATGGGAGGATATAACCAGCCAGAACTTACATATTTCATCGAAAAAACTGGGGGTGAAGAGCAAGGGTGCTTCGATGATTAGGTGGGTCAACCCAGTGATTGCCCACCAGCACATGAGCAAACGGTCGGCCTTGGATAATCTCCCGGATCTTCCTGCAACAGATGAAGATCAGGAGATGATGGGAGTGTTAATTTGCATGGAGCACTCTCTCCGTTTCTTTTTTACTTCACATGTTAGATTTGTCTTAAGTCAAACTTTCTATAGTTTAATCTAGTTTATAGAAAGGAGTACCAACATTCACCTTATCAAATCAATATCATTTGATTTATCATGGAACATAATTTTAGAGCATTATATTGATTTGGTATTGTAACTGTTGATAATTTTTAATACGACTTCAATAAAATTTTACAAAATTTAACTCAAGACAAACCTAATATATAGGGGAGTAAAAATGAACTCGGAGGAAGTAAGTATCGTATGTATACACATGATGGAAGGATAGATTTGGTGGTTGCAGTAGTTACCAGTATTGAGTACATGGCCGGAGACAAGCCAGATCACCGTGATAACCAAGAGAGAAGTGCCTATGAGGGGCACCACGAGTTCGAGGGGTGAAAGCTGCGGCGGCACGAAACCGGGGAGCTCGAGGTCACTTGGCGAGTAAGGGTGGCCGGCCATCGCCATGGATGGATGGGCCAAGAGAGAAAGAGAGCGAGCGAGTTGTGTGATGGAGGAATTCTGCTTGCGCGCTATGTAACCTCTTGTTCTGCAGGCGCAACAGCTCGCCTCCTTAACAAGTTAATCAAATGCACAACCTCCGGATGATGATGATGATGATGATGATGGCCCCCCCTAGAAACAAATATACTAATGTGATGATGGATATAGATGCCCAACCACATGTACATACAAATTACAAAGTCAAATATGGGGTGGCAGCCGGTACACATGGCGACTAATCTATGCAGGCATCAGCGTCATCTACCGGCCGGTTCCCCAGACCTGTCCTCTCTATGGGTTAGATGACGAGAATCCCTTTCATGGACTTGTGGTGCATCCACATGCCGCCATGCTCTGGGATGTGATGTGATGCAGGAAGATTGGTCGCTGCGTTGAAGACGGGCAATGAATTAGCTCATGTAGTCTGTTCAATGGCTTATTTCGCTGGTTTAGCGTAGTATTTTGGAGTCTGCAATGTGAATTAGCCCATGGTAAACCTTTCCCTCCTGTTGAGGTCTCGACGTTTTTTGGGCATGCAGCTACTCGACTTCACTTGATAACATCCAGAATCGGCAACAGACAACAGAGGACACCCGAAGGGGAAGCATCTTACTTCGCCCTATCATTTTATGCAGCTTTCATGTCCTCCTGTCCTAACACCTTTTTTTCGAAACACATTACAAAACGCAGATGCTCACATACACTCGCTGCAATAAACACACACACACACTCTGTGTCTACGAACACCTCTGAGAGACTGAGTCGGCTGGTCTTGAGATTGACAAAATCACCACACACACACACAAGGCAGAGCCGACATAAGGGGGGCAAGCCTAGTTCATAAAAGGAAACTTCCGAGTATGCTAAAATAAGTACAGTAATGGTGTAATAATGTGTACTTAGGAGAAATTAACACCTAGCTACATTTGTATTATTTTGATGAATGTTTCCTTGATTTTTCGTGAGAAATTTAAATTTTCGCTTACAATTGCTATAAGGTCAAAAATATCAATACTTTCGTTTGTAAAGAAATATAAGAGCGTTTAGATCACCATTTCTTTACGGAGGAAGTACAAGATAACTTACCAGCTAATTCCTTCTAATTGTAAATTATCATGCAACTCCGAAACAAATCATCTCTCATCGAAGCCAAGGTTTTGGATCCCAAGGGGACATTTTTTCTCGAGGGGCACCGGAATTTGCGGTTACCATGGTAACCGCGAAATACCGGGAAAAATTCGGACGAAATTTGAAATTAAATTTTGAATTCAATTTTTTTGAAATCGATGTAGATAGTACTTTAACTTCCAAAGTTATCACGTATCTGCTTCTTCCAAAGTTATCACGTATCTGCTTCTGGCGTAGTGGCTGTTCGAGTAGAACTCCCCCTTGGTAAAAGGTTGCGAGTTCGACCCCTGGCCACTCCAACAAACTAATCTCTTTTTTTACTTGTGCACATCAAAAAGAAATTAAAAAGCGTGTGTCAAGATTCGAACCCGCGACGCACTATTGAGGAAAGGCTGGGGGTTGCCACACTCCAACAAACTAATCTCTTTTTTTACTTGTGCACATCAAAAAGAAATTAAAAAGCGTGTGTCAAGATTCGAACCCGCGACGCACTATTGAGGAAAGGCTGGGGGTTGCCACTAGGCCACGACCACTAACGTTCAAATAGAAGTAATGGCCTGTATTTAACTATACCCTGAGCGTTTGAATTCAAAATTTTCAAAACTTTCGAGATTTTTTGCCCGGCATGACTGTTTCTCGACGGGGGGCGATAAACGTGGTAACCCGGCGAGATAGCGAAATTTCGTTCGGTTACCAAAACAGTGATCGAAGCAACAACATAAAAAATCGAACTTATCATTAGAGTGATTTTCTATTACAACATCGTAAATCACACAATCATGAGAATTAAATTTCAAATAGATATCATAGGTCACACAATAAAAATAATTAAAATTGGATGAAAATTTCAACACACACAAGATAGTTGAAACTGTAGATAACACTTAGGGCTAACCTTTGCTAGTTGGCTGGACCCTGAAGACCTAGAATTGCCCATTGCGGCGCTAGTATTGCCTAATTTAAATTGATTCCACTCTGGCCGCGAGCAGGGAGGGCAGGAGGCGGCTCAACGGCAGCCGGTGGCGCTAATCTCATATAATCACACGCTAATCACGCTAGGGTAAAAACTAGTAGGAGTACAGTGAGGGATGCCATGTCTTTTCTTCAGTTTTCTACTCTGTGTTAGAGGGGGCGGGGAGCACGTGTAATTGTGTGATCGTGACGCTAATTACACATAGATGCTTCGTCTTTTT